GGTCTGTCTGTCTGTACTCTCATTTCCGGTTAAACGGCGGAAACGATTGGAACCAAATTTGGTACTTATTAGCTCCTGGTTCTGGTGATTACCTTCAGTGCACTTAATTTTAAAAAAATCGATGTAGGCAGACAGTAAAACACACATTAAATTCACAAAACTTTGACGTACACTTTGAAAACTATGCATTCAAAACGTGATCGAAACTAACGTCCTACAGCGTAACAGAGCATTCTCGACTGTCAAGGGAAAAAAATAAAAATAATAAAAACATAAGGGGGATGGAACTGGTTTTCCAAAATGTTGGGATATGCCCTTTCTAACATTGCAAAAAGTTTTCCAAAAGTCCTATCCCGAGCGGCGCTGCTAAATGGGGCTGTGAAAACAAATTCTTATCCCAAAGAGAATTGAGAACTTGGTATGTTTAGACGTGAAAATAGCGAAACCAAAGTTAGTCTGTAACGAAGCACCCAAATTCGTACAGAAATTATAGGAGAATCACTGAACGCAATCATGCAAGCTACGAGCTTTAATGAACACCCGGTACTTCGACGAACTCAAACGGGCGCGCTTCCTTACGAGAAATTGTAGTTCCAGGCCTATCTATTTCTTTTCTACCAATTGGTCGATTTTAATTGCTCAATGGTAATTTAAAACTAGGTACCGACATTCACACCAAGTGCTCACGGCACCAAGAATACAATAATATATCATTTTTGTTCATGGTTAAAAGCTTAGGAGTTATGGTGTCTCACCATAACAACAGTATAGGGGTTTATTTAGGGTTTTAGATATTTGCATAACATAAAGGGTTTCGGGGGCCACCATTTAACAGTATTCCAGTATTCAAATATGTAGGAATTTTGAAAAATATTCACACTTGGGATTTATGGACAATGAGACAGTGGCAAAATACTATTGTAAACAAATTCAACGAATGTATTACGCCCGGACATAAAGCAAACAAAACCTCCGACGTATCGCACAAGCTGATAACAACCATCGTACTTGAATTCCAAAGCCACCTTTCTGCGAATTGTTAAAATATAAAATACATGTGAAAAGCTTCAACTACGTACACAAAATCTATACGATACTCTAATTTGAATAAACACCCTGTATATTAACCTTAAATAAAAGCCACCCACACCTTCCACACTATGTAACTACGCAATAATATGCCCTAACACACTGTACTAACCTTCAACCTTCCCTTAACACATGCAATTTGAACTGTTAGATCCGCTCCGAACAAACATACAGTGGCGTAGCTTGCGTCATTCGCCTTTAAGGAACTGCATAAAAGCGGGTGCTGTAAAATTCAAAACTGTCAAATATGTTACATCACATATTGGTTTCTTCTACTATCAAATTGTTTTTGACGTACTTAAGTGTAACACTCTGTGTAGTAGTTCGTAGTATTTGTAATGTATACAATGTATACTGTCGTGTACAGTTGAAAAAACTGAGCGTAGAATACAATAAGACTCAATATTTTTTTTTACATAACGTATATGGTGTTTGTTGCCAGTGGCACCGCCAGGATCTCCATCTGGAACGCAAATATGAGTTGTTTGGGAACGTAGAGCTGCCAAATAAATGAGAAACGAAATTTGAAAATTTTCACTCACTTAAGAGATACGGACCCTAATGACTATATTTTCATACAGAAATTAACTTTATACAAGAGTTTCTTTATAATAATGGCTGAATAATCTACCGATTCTAGGACTGGTGTACGAGGTCAGGCAAAAAAAAGTTATCTCACCTAATCGAGAGGCGAATCACTCACATGTAATAATAATAATAATAATAATAATAATAATAATAATTGTATTTATTGTTCAACAGAAAATATTTCCAGTAACAGAACAATATAAAAATTTAGTATAAACTGCAGTGTATGAAATATCAAAATATCACACAAGAGAAAAAAACATAATAAAATAATAGTATAAAACATTATAGAAAAAAAAGAATGAAGAGACAGAATATGTTAATTAAATTAATAATTTATAAGATCTTTCCAACGACACAAATTTAAAAACAATCCGGACCAGAACTGAAGATAGAAAAAAACTGAAAATCACTACATTAGTATAGCACGCTCGGGGATGGCGCCCAGATGTCGCTGATCCCACATCATGTAGCCCCGGCCCTAAAGTTGCGTTCAAAATACAACTCCTAGCTTACCGTATGTAGTGTAATGTAAATCAAATAAAACAAAATAATCTTGCGTCGAGAATCTTGTGGGCAACCACAGAACGCCGCGGGTTGCCGACCACTGATCGTCAGACGCGATGCAAATTAGCCGTAATTTTAACATTAGAAGCCTCAGGAGGGGTCAATTAACCACATTTAAGATTTAAATTTATATAGGTCCTTTTTTTGGCAACAGAAGTTTGTGGCTTTATGACGTTTTCTTATTTGGGCACTAGATTAATTAAATGAAAAGGCGTCATTGGAACTATTAAAAAAATGGAAAATTTAAAATTGTTATCTATGGTACCCGATTAGGGTCAATAGACCCCATATGTTTTTCGTTGGGTTTTTTACTATATTGGACAAAAATTTGCTGTAACTTATTTTTGTCTCATTTCTGAGGCATCGGTTTTCGTTTTGTCTTACTTTTCATAAATATTGTTTTAGGTTCTTTTATATTTACGATTTTTCATATACAGTGTGTTCGAGATAAGATAGTCGCCTCAATATCTCTTGTATTTGGCGAGATTCGAAAAAATGGTCAAATTTTATTTTGTATGCGATATTACGATCACCCTGTACAGTAAATTGATTGCTCTTTTCAAATATTTTAAAAGAGCATAGGCATTGAATTTAAAAATCAAAAGTTGCCCCCAATTTCGGCCAAACCC